ACTAACTAACGTACGGTACGTACTCTACCACGACGACGACGTGTAGTACGGTAACGTAACGTAACTAGACGACGACACACGTACCGACCGAACTAAACTAACCTACCCTCCTCCTCTCTCTCTCTCTCTCTCTCTCTCTCTCTCTCTCTCTCTCTCTCTCAATCCTATGTTTTCTCTCCCAATCTTCTCTCTTCTACGTTTATTGTTTTATCTCCTTATCTTCTCTCTCTTCATCTCATCAAACTTTCCCAAAATCTCATGAAATCTATTCCTCCCTCATTCTCACGTGATATCTATTCCTTCCCAAATCCTTCATAAAAGATTAGTTCCTAATCTATTCCACAAAGGGAAAAGTTTATATAAAGTTGCAACCTTAAAATGTAGAATCACAGATGCACCTCAAAAATCTATCAGAAATGTTGTTTTAATGTTGAAAAAACCAGCTAATCAATCATCTCGACATCGAGATGCATGAATATGAAAAAAAAAAAATTTGAGTCCCAAAAATAGTGCATCTTGCAACACATTATCTAGACCGTCTATTTTCAAGATTTTCATATATTTATAGATCTACTTGATTTTAACCATTTTTGGAATTTAAAAATTTCTAATTAGGTATGAAAATATATTTTAAGATAATACTAAGTATTTTTTACAACAAAATTACATGTTATAATAAAATTTTAAAGTGCGCCTTAATTGGATTGTTTAAGGTTGCAACCTTATAGAAACTGCACCCTTCCACAAAAGCCTCCTAAAAAGAATAACTCATACCAAACTTAAGATTAATCTTTTTAAAAAACTAACGATAGTGCTACCCTATCATGAAAAAACAACTACCCAATTGCTACCCTATCATGAAAACAACTCACGCACCAAAAAACTCAAGCACCAAAATCCTCCCACTTAACTTACCCCATCACACTACTTATTCCTAAGACAAAAATTTAAAAAATAAAATAAAATTTTGATAACCCCAATTTTTATTTGCATCATTCTCCCGGGGTTGGGAGAAGCTCAACCTCGAGCTTATGGAACTCAAAAACTTTCTTTCATCATCTTGTCCACTTTGTTCCAACTACATTTCACCCTTGTTGTGTCGAACTTTTGATTGTTGATCCTAATCGAACAAAGTCATGATATGCTTAAAATATCAATTGTGATGCCAAAATCTCTTGCACCTTCTACCGCTTGTATTTAATGAGTATTAATCAACTCAACTTCCAAAGCAAGCTGTGATGTATGATTAATGCTTCGATTGGTAGTTGATTATTGATCTTCTACCTCTTCATGTTCTTCTTCCTCCGATTGCAATTTATGAGGCAGATCTCGTAGACGCTCTTTAGGACGTAGATCTTGTTTGCAAATTTGTTCTTGACGTTCTGGATCAGCTGCTCAAGTCAGTAGGAGAACTCGATTCATCTCTACAGTGAGATTTGGTGTCGGATCTTTATAGTTGCGAGCAGTCTCTTCCCGGATAATAATATCATCCAATCGTTGCACTCTTTGTATAATTTACGTCTCTTCAGATGCACTCCATGGCTATGTTCATGCTCACCTTAATTTGTTGACCTACACTCCATGAATTACAATATATCCTTGAGTGTAAGAGCAAATTTCAACAACATTGTGATTGATGGATCTTACTTGCTCTAATACCAACTGAAACAGAGAAAATGGAGGGAAGACAATTAAAATAAAAATAATAATAAAGGATGAAAAATATAACCTCTCTCAAGGTCTACAAGGGAGTTCATGCCAAAGATCTTTTCACAAGATCTACTCTTTACTAAACCACCAAATTCTCCTCTATTTACAATGAAGGACTTCTTCCGTTTAAATATACTTAGAAGAAAAATAATAATCAGATAAAAAACCAGTAAAATTAAACTCTCTCTAAATCCTACATTATTTCTCCTTATCTTCTCTCTCTTCGTCTCATCCAACTTTCCCAAAATCTCATGAAATCTATAGCTCCCTCATTCTCACGTGATCTCTATCCTCCCCAAATCCTTCCTAAAAGATTAGTTCCTAATCTATTCTATAAAAGCCTCCTAAAAACAACAACTCATACCAAACTTAAGAATTGTCTCTTTAAAAAGTAACCAACCTAATTGCTACCCTATCATCAAACAAACGCACGCACCAAAATCATCCCACTTAACTTACACCAACACACTTCCTATTCCTAAGACAGAAATTCAAAAAAATAAAATAAAATTTTGATAACCCCAATTTTTATGTGACCTAACTATTAAGGATCACAGGGAACAAAAAACCATTTAAAATCAGCTTGTCATATCTAGCTTCAGTCACGTTTTACAAATGTACAGCCATATGATAGATTCAGGTTTTCAATTCAATCATAAATTATACAATAAAAGCAACAATTTGTGTCACACTGAATCAAATCTGAGCAAACCACTGGAAATAAGACCCAAGTAAACAAAATTAAAGAAGAGAATACAATCAATCGAGCAGCAAAGCCCTTTTGAGATAAAAATAAATGGAAAACCACAAAGGCGTCACCATACAAATAGCAATCAATAATGAAATAATCATAATGTCAATCATTGAGTCAATGATTTCAATAGAAAGTGGGGGAATTGTATATGAACTATCAAATGTTGAACAACAACATAGTTAAAAAAGTATTGCCCCTCTCAACAAAGAATCTGAAGACAAAAAGGCACTATAAAATATTTTTATATATATATAAAAACAACAGCAACAATAATTATGGCATAGAGATATTAAATAGATTATTAACAGAGCTATTAAAAATCATGAAGTTAGACAGATCTAGGGTTTCTATTGTAGATAGTTAGGTATAGGTTTGAATGGTTAATGGGGAGATAGTAGACAGACATACTTGTGGAGGGCAGGGGCCATCTGGTTGGTGAGGGTCCCGGCAACGATCATGCAGTCGGACTGGCGAGGGCTGGGTCGGAAGATGACACGGAAGCGATCAAAGTCATATCGAGTAGCGCCAGCATGCATCATCTCCACAGCTCAGCAGGCGAGCCCAAATTTCATGGGCCATATGGACCCCCGTCGCACGTAGTTCATGAGGTCGTCCACCTTCGATATCACAAACTCGGCTGCCTTCGGAAGACCACTTCCTCTTACTGCAGTCGAGGGTTTCGTGGGTCTCGTGCAAGGGGTGGGTGGTGCCGATGATGCTGGTACCGTTATGCCATGGAGGAGGAAGTGTGAAAGTTAGCGGCCAAAGCTCCTGTAACCCTTTGGCCGCCATGAACAAGGCGGGAGGCTCTACCTGGGAGGAGAGCAGCAGCAATGGTCATCGCTACAAATACAAGTCCTCTCTCTCTGTCTCTTTATTGTCATCGTTTCGTTTACGAGTGTGAATATGAGCTTCTCCAATGGAAATCTTATGTACAAATCAGCCAAAAAAGATAACATCACATGATGGAAAATTTTGACAAGGAAAGCAAAATCCAGATAAACAAAAATAAGCATGATCCAAAAGGATGATGTAACTGCTAGTGGAAGTACTAAGAGACAGGTAGAAACCATTAAGAAGTAACCTCTACGATGAAAACAGATCCACATCAAAAAACTTAGCACATTGTATAAGATGCACTAAAAACTAGATGGCACCAATGTGCAAGAAAATAATATATAATAAACAAAGAAACTCAGCCTCAGGTAGACAAGCATGAGAAACAAATATCACAACCATGCCACTTTGTAATAAAACGAAATGGAAGTGTTCATTACAAATCTGCAAGTATAAACTCTCCATAAATAGATCATGGTCACATAAACAACCAGCCAGACCTGAAGCATTATACACTACAACAATCTAGTGACAATGGCAATCCATTCATCTTTTCTTACCTCAGAGCTTTCAAAAAATAGCAGTCCAATGACAAAATAAAATTCAAGGGCGAAAAAGAAAAAACAAGTTAAGAAACCAGCCAGACCTGAAGCATTATACACTACAACAATCTAGTGACAATGGCAATCCATTCATCTTTTCTTACCTTAGAGCTTTCACAAAATAGCAGTCCAGTGACAAAATAAAATTCAAGGGCGAAAAAGAAAAAAACAAGTTAAGAATTTACTTGCCAAGCCACAATGAAATGATAGCTACCTATCTCATAATACTTGGAAAAAAAAACAAACTGGTTCTATTTCCATCAGATTTATGACACCGCACAGCTTAACAACATTTAACCACTAATTGCCAGTGCTGGAGAGAGAGCAGTACCAACCAGAACATGGAAATACCTAACTCTTAAGTGATTCTCTCCCTACAGCACCATTCATCTATTAATTAAACAATGGTAGGCTGGGAAATACCACATCTCTTTTTTCATTTGAGAATTAAACAATAAAATCTTACATCATCATCATCAAAGCCTTTTCCCAACAATAAAATCTTACAAGTAACCAAAAATTCTATGGAACTGAAGCTACAGATAAAAATAGTATTTTTATAGCAAACAACATTCACAAGCACTGAAACTGCAAAACCAAGGCAAACAAAACACTAAACAGAATAAAAGTTAAGTTCATCAGCACTCACAATACTTGTCACAGAAAGTAACAGGAAATGTCCATAAACAGCAACCTATAAACTAGAGAAAATCCATATAATGAGAAAATTTTGATCTCGAAAAAAACACAGGCACCAAATCTACCAAAACCACAAGACAAAAATTCACCAATTCAATAACTGTCACTACTTCATCAAGTCACCATGGAAGTATCCCAACAAGAACCACAAATCCTAACCAGGCACAAAAGGAGCAAAATAAAAATACCTTAAAATCTATTTCAAATTAAATCTCTAAACTGAAAAACAGAAAAGGGAAAACCACGGAATACATCAAATGTAAAACAACACATATCCTTAGGAACCAGTCTGCATCGGAAAATATTCATACATAGTAAATTGACCTAAACCAAATGAAAATCCCAGTTCCAGTTAATATGAAGCAATACATGCCTTATATATTTGATTTGATCGTTTGGTAAGCAGATAAAAGGAATGCAGCCCATATATTATCAAATACCAAAAGCGAAATCAATAATCCATCTCAAAAGAAACCAAATATTTCACATTCAACTCTAACGACACATAACACCACCATATCCGTACGTATATAGAAAAAATAAGGAATACACTAGTTCCACCAACTACTACGTAAAAACAAGTTATTTCACAAAAATCATCCCAGCTATCAAAATTTATATCCTCTGGGTAATTGAGTACATATCCGATCGAGATCCCACAAAACGGCCCTCTACTTGATCACTTCTTCACGAAACCTCTTAACAGTGAAAAAAACCACATACTTAAACCAGATATTAAAACTTTAAACTATATAGTACCACCAATCGCACAAAAAAAAACCTAATTTTATCAAAGGAGCTGCATTTATAAACCTTACTCGAAAGCAAAGAACGAACCGACCAAACAAAAAGCAATATATCAAAAGCTTGTAGCAAGCTTAAATCACATCGTTGGCCCCGGAAAAAAAAAAATAGAGAGAGATTTCCTATCAACTGATCTTTATAACTAAATCTCTAGCAAATAAACCAAGCAAACAACAGATATCAAAGCTCGAAGTAAGCAAACTCATACCACCAGTCACACATGAATCCACAAATAACCTAAAAATGGAATTTTTTCGATGAAATATAATTCTCTTACAAATAAATAGAAAAATCAAAACAAAACAAAACCAGATATTAAAGGTTATGTGATCTAGATCATACCACAATTACAAAAAAAAAATCTAGATTCTCTATGAATTGATCTGATTAAGAACCAGTAAAACATTGAAAACAAGTGAATAAACAAAATATGCAGAGAAAGTAAACAACCCCCATGGATCTTAGAATTAGGGATTACTGAAATGGCAGAGAAATACATCTCATGCCGCCTCAGAGAGTTATGAAAGAGAAGAAACGGAGAGGACACGAGGTAAAGCAACATGCCACAACATCTAAAGCAAAAATAAACTAAAACAAACCAAAGCAGGTAAAATAGTTCAAACTTACAACTTCAAAACTGAACTATTTGACAAATATCCTAATTCAATCTAGAACGATCTTGTTTGTCATATACATAATGAAGTAAACACAGTTACAAATTTCAATTTCATGGCTTTTTATTACCCAATGAGAGATAAGGCCATTTCAACAACAGCATAACAAAATTAAACCCCAAACCTTGGCAAAAGTAACCAGAAAAGCCCAAGTATATATCATTCTGCAGAGGATATTCCTCCATAAATTTCAACCCAACGAATACAAAAACCAAATAACAGAAAACCCCATAAATTATATAACCAAATGACAATAGAATAGAACCCAGTTTTATAGATATCAAATCCTACTGCATAATATATCCTCCTAAGTAAGCTTTATTCAATAAATAAAAATAAAACGAATAAAAGCATACTTAGATTATTAACTCATAAAACCAAATGAAAATTAGTTCAATGACACACCACAAAAACAACACCAACAACGATAGCAACAATGATCAATTAATCCAACACCTAAAGCCCAAATTTTTTTACTAATAGACACAAAATCAAATTAATCAAACTCTAGACCCCCAAATTGTACTTCTCAATAAACAGAAAACCCACATCAAAATTTATGTGACAAACTAGAAAAATAAAATATGGGGTTTTTCTTATTTGCTCATAACCAAGAAAAAAAAAAGAAACAAAAAATCCAATAAAAAAGCTCTCTGTAGACTTGGGGTTAATGTTGTCTGACCTTAATCACAGAAAAAAAAGAACCTAAATCATAAATAAAATCTCATTTCGATCAGGGATTATATTTTTCAAGCTCTAAAAATAAAAATTAAACACTAAAAAGGACTCACCATACCTTTCTGAGCGATTAGCGTGCAGCAATGGCGACGAGGGGAGTAGACCTGAGGAGAGGCGAGGAGGACAGGAGTTGCCGGAGGGCAGAGCACTTCGTTGGGGCGTTGCGACGTGTGGCAACAGATGTATAAACTTGTTCCTTTCTCTCACTGTAAACTTCAGTCAATGGGTTGGAAAGAGCAATTACCAAAAATTGTTAAACCAGATTATTTGGTAATTGTGTCTCCACATTATTCGTAATTAAGGTTTTATTCTTCTTTCTTATTGCTACAATTGGCGGTTTTCTGTTTTGATGGCATTATTTTTTGTTGGTTTTTGGTCTGATTTTTTGTGAAAACTAATCGTTGCTTGGGTGAAATGGGTGGGTTTTGTTCTTTTTTTCTTTATTTTTTTATTTTTTTATTTTTGGTTTTTTGTTTTTATTTTTATTTTTCATTGTTGAGATATTTTTGAAGTGCGTCAGATTTTTTTTTTATTTTTTATTTTTTATTTTTACATGCTTAGAACTTGAGAGGTAGTGTTATGAAAACCCAGCTGCCGCCTTGATTGTATAGCCCTTTGAATGTAGGCCATATGCTTAGTGTTTCAATGTTGTTCCAGATGTATGTTTTTTAAGGAAAGATTCCTGCTAGAGTATAAACCAAGTTTGTTGTTTTACATGAGAGAACTTTATTTCAGGTCTTTGCAATTTCATTTGAGGTCTTTTGATTCTTGTCAATCTAAACTTGATTGTGTTTGTTGTATGATTAGATAGATATGGCTATGTTTAGATGTCTGTGAAGATACTGGTCATAGAGCTCACATTTATCTTCTAGACACGACAATGTTGTTTCTTCTTGGGAGATTTTATGAACAAAGAATTCCTTGTGATCATAACTTGAATTATTGTATAACCCGAATTCTTGAAGTCCATGTGATCATGTATAGATATATCCAAATGATTAAGGTTTACCATATTATACTTCAACAATATAGTGTGAAATGGTCCGATTTAGTATCCATATTAGTTAAACCATGAAACTAAAATTACTCATGGTTCAATGTTATAACCATGGTACATGATTGGCTAATATGGACTCTATGCATGAACTTTAATCCATATGTTTACCTTATTCGCAGACTCCACCTTATATAAATGCGATTATTAAGTATTTTCGGCCAATGATAGTATCATATAGTTTAACAAATATAGCTTTTGTGAATTATCCACATTTGGCAATATATAACATAATCAACAAACATATATACTCTCACGTTTGGTTGCTATCAATGTAATCATGTACCATATATTTTGTTAAGTTATTCCTGAAGCTGGACATATATATTTAGTTTGTTGATCATGGATTCTATCTCCAAACGTATTAATGGTACTATGCAGGTCCAATAGTTATTGATAAACATTTTGTTGGTTCTTTTTCTCTCCAAAAAGT